AGCGTGGAGTCGGCCTGGGATTCTCTCTCTCCTTCTCTCTCTACTCCTCTCCCATTCACACACTCTGTCTCTCAAATAAATAAACGTTTTTTTAAAGTTATTCTATTAAAAAGCTGAATTGACTTTAAAAATTTTCCTGGTTTCTTACACGGTTCCTTGATTTTTTCATCCCTAATCACAATAAAGGGGGAGACATAAAGGGAGGAAGGAGAAGGAAGTGACAGGTCGTACACAGAGAAAGAAAAGAAAGCGTTAATGGTTAGCATGTTTGAATGCTTACTATGGGCCAGGCACGCTTTTGCGAGCTATATATGTATTATTTTTCCATTTTGCCCTCACAATAATTTCTTTTTTTTTTAATTAATTTTTTTTTTTTACAAATAGTTTATTGTCAAGTTGGTTTCCATATAACACCCAGTGCTCATCCCCACAAATGCCCTCCTCCATGCCCATCTCCCCCCTCCCCCCCCACACCCATCAGTCCTCAGTGGGCAAACCATGAAAGACTCCTGAATACCTCACAATAATTTCTTTACTCTAAGTGATAAGCCAAAGTAAGTGCTGGCCAGTGCCTGGAGGGGCCTATTCTTAAACCACGATTGCTTTGGGGAGGCAGAACAATGCAGAGAAGAAAACAGGCTCCAGAACCAGGGCGTGGCCTGGGTTCAAACCTTGACCTTCAGCCACTTAGCTGTGTGGTCTTGGGGGAGTCACTTAATCTCTCTATGGCTCGGTTTCCTCCTCTGTAAAATCAAAACACTAACAGCATCTACTTCAGAGGGACTATATACAGCCTTGCCTGGGATGTAATTATTAACTATTATTATTTCTACAGATGAACTTTAACAGAAACACACATTAACATTTATTTCATATTAGATTGTAGCCTTTAAAACTTTCCTACTGCACCCAGTTGTTATTTCAGTTGGTAACTGGGACCACACAGTCTGACCCAGGGTCTGGCACATGGTTAGCATCTAATAAACACTTCAGAACGAAAGCATGAATGAACAAACAATTGTGGTAACTAACATTAGGAAATACGGGCATGAAAGAAAAGTTCAATAAAGCTTTTCAAATTCTAATCAAAAAGCACTCTCTGAAAGAGAAGGCATCATTTCTCTTCCCATTAGGGGTGGAAATTTTTAGCAAAACAGAACTGTCTGGAATAACTCTAATGAGCCCCAAAGAAACAAAAAAAAGATATCTAGAGGTTTATATGAAAAATACACAACGTAAAAAGGAGAAACTTCCCCTGGAAATAAAGGCAAAGTTAATTAGCACTTCCTCTTAAATATATCAAAAATACTTGACTAATGAGGCTGCTGAATTATTATACTACACTATTAATAACACTGAAATTGATGTTTAACACTGACACCAAGGAAAACGAGAAGGCTCTTTCAGAGTGTCTCTCAAAAACTTAAAGGCACGAATCAATGCTCGGCATATATGTGTAGGCAGTGAGCGAACAGGAGACGGGTGGATATGAACACCACACCTGAGGGGGAAAGCCAGCTGTCCCTAACGGGCCTCCACCATAGTTCTCATTATAATGTCCCACATATGGCCCTCGACCCTGCTGTCACAGACACTTAATTCTCAGGGGATTACAAACAGATCTCTCTGTCTCTCCTTTCTCCTCCATTTCCTCCTCCTCACACACCCACCTGAGGTGTAAGGCAAATAAGACCTAAATCCCAAGTGCCAATGTACTAATGGACAACGTGACATAAAAACTGTTGCTGAGTCTAACGATTCATGTCAGCAAGTCACCCACAATTCTGTCAGAGAGTGAAATCATTGCCACAAGCTTGCTGGGTAAGCCGGGACTCAAAACAAAAGGAAGTTGACAGGATTAAGTAACTATTTCAAGCACTTGGCCAACGAGGCCTCTAGCATCCTCTCCATGGGAGCAGAGGCCTTGCTGCTGGACCGAAACCCTCAAAATCTACTTTCCAAGCTTCCTCTCCTTGGACAGTTTTTGGAGCCAGTATTTGCCACCGTGACTCAGTGACCTAGGAGAAGTGGTTTTTCTTCACATAGGTTTTCTATTATGTATGCTTTTATGTGTTTCTATTATGTATGTTCTCATATATTTTTATGACATGCGAACACACGGGATCAGATCACAACCAGGGCTTCTTGGCCTAGAAGCTGAAGTGACTTCAGCCAGCTTTTAATCTGTGAAACTTCTAAAATTTAGCTTTCAGAAAATGATCTCCATCTCTCCTTTCCAGGTTTTAATCAAAAGTCTTAATTTAACCCCCACATACGGATACACAATATATTATTAGAATCAGGACTAAAAATGGCAGAGTGTAATCTCAATTATAGCTTTTAAATGAAATGAGAAAAGTGACTGCCTAAGGAGCTAGAAAAGAGTGGCAATACCGAATTTGTTCCTGGTCAATTAATAAGACAGCACATACCGAGCCATTTTAGGTACATTTGCTTAATCTTAGAAGTAAAGAAAGAGAAAGACCAGGGGCGTGTACTGATGAAACATCATTGCCCAACAGCACTTACATAAATATTTTTATATTTTTGTTTCTATCACATCTAACATTGTTATATAATCCGGCGTTAACCAGGCTCTTCCTCCTTAGCTCTTTCCTAGTCCCCACCCCTTTCCCCTACTCCATCCACTCAAAGATTGTAAGGTCTTTCAGTATAAGAACCATATCTGATTTATGGTTATATTCCTTGGACCTGTCCACCAAATGCACTCTAACATGATCAGAATGGATTCTGGGACTGAATACGTATTCACACAACTCAAACGACCTTAGGCCATTTTTAATTGAACACCAAAAATACAGAATCACCTCCTATTGCTGATTTCTTGATTTTCTTTAGGGCAAAGCTGAACTTTAAATAATTCAGTGTTTAGAGCTGATTTATCCCTAACGGTTGACTCTGACTAGGCCAGAAAGACTTCAGCAATAAGTTTAAGTTTCCTTACTTAAGAAGACAAACAGCTAGACAATAGCAAGTGACTGCTTGAGAATAGAATTTGCGTTAACAAGAACATAGATGCAGACAACAGACTATGTTGTCTTTCCTGCTTATACTCTAAAGACCTTTCTCCAACTCCGTTTTCGCTATTACCTGGATAAACAGTCTGTATGGGAGACTGAGAAGTGGTTTGCTCAACATCACAAAGGTTTCTTCTAAAAGGCATGGTTTGGGCTGATATCTTTTTAATGTGGTGTTTTGTTTTGTTTTGTTTTGTAGCCTAATAGGCTATTTTTCCTTTTGCAACCATGAGCTTTCCTTACCTGGATACGCAAAGAGTATAACTAGTGCCAAGAAATTTAAAAAATAGTAAGAACTACCAGCTAGTAAAACAAATACTGAAAAGCGCAGAGTAATGGGTATATTTCACCTTATGCCTATTTTACCACAATACAAAAAAATGATCAGAGTAACCTGTAGAAGACAGAAGACTGACATCATGAGGCAGAACATATGTACTCTATTACAGAAGCATAATGGGACCCACATGAAGAATTCCAACATCCTTACAAAAGCACTAAAGAAATTAAAGCATCAAAAGCAAACAAAGTCAGACATTAAAAGGGAGGAATTCTGTATGCCATGGTTGAGGTGCTTCTTTTGACCAAAAAAGAAGTAAGAAATGTCAAAATCATTTCCATAGTCCAGAACCACAGTGGCCTATTCTTCTTCTTTTACTTTATCCGTTACCCATGGTATAGAAGAAACCCTCCCTTAAAAATAGGTATGCACTAAGGAAAAAGATATTCCAAACGCAAGAAAAGTATGCAGTGGACACACACAACCATCCAACATGGCGGAATAAAACCGAATTAAGCACACTTGTCTTAGACACCAGCTAAAGCTGCACGGATAGTTCAAGCTCTCCTTACCTAAAGGAATGTGAAAAGGCTTGCATTCTGCAAGAAGCCACAGTAAGCATTAAAAAAGAAAGCAAGTTCTGGTAAATCTAAAACAATGGAATCACCTACTTTTTAAAAGTTGTGTAAGGCTTTAACTAGACTCTAAAGGGCTAGACAATCAAGTTGGCATAAAAAGACATGAGAGCACCTCAGAGATGTACATAAATTGTCAAAAGGCACCAAGTAACCTATGTTTACTACACAAACGTTTAGAATGATGACAGTCCAGGTATAAGAAGTCATTTGGATTTTTGGTACAGGGTATGTAATACACTGGTGGCCAAACTTATTCAACCAACAAAATTCCGGTTGTAAAAGCTACATTCCCCACAAATGAAAAACACAAAGGCATGCAATCTGGGGGTTTTGCTGGTAAAACAAACAAACAAAAAAAAGTTCATGCCAACAGGAGCACAGTAAATTTAAACCATGTTTGTCACTTTCAGCGCTATTTGACTCAACATGGAGGGGGGCGGGGTCAGGGTGGAGGATGCACAAAACACTGTGAAGTGGTTTTATCAAAACTGCCGGGAAAATTCTGCAGACTCATCTGAAATAGAAATGCAAAACAAAAAGCAAAGCTCAATATCAAGATTTGGGCCTAAGCATGAATGCAGAAGGAGCTTACACATTTGTATGAACCAGTACATGGATGAGCATGTGGTGATCACACCAGGGTGCAACAATGTACCGCCCAGAACCGGGGCCGGTCTCGGTCCACGCGTGCAGTCAGTGCTCCCGGACCAGTCCGCAGGAGGACCACAGGCTCGGCCCGCAACCACAAACTTGCAACCACAAGAGACATACTTACCCTGCATGATCAGGAAGGACTAAAAGAACAGAAATGCACAACCAGAATTTTCCAACAACCTTAAACGTACTCACAAGATGACTATTTTGAACGCTATGCCTAAGAGCCAGAAGGCTACACCTAAAACAATTGACGCAGTATCTCAGGTCCTGGTTTGAAGGAGAGGAGAATCCAGCATTACCCACAGCCAAGGTCAGGAAATACATGCAACCACAACATATTTTAATTTGTCTCAGCTACTTAATGAGCAAGGAGAGAGGAGGACATACTTTACGTCTTCCAGCTTTTTGGTGATGACCGATCCAACAGAGGAGAAAGCAGCTGATGCCTTCTGTCCAGCTTGAGATAAGGTTTCAGAGGTCTTTTTATATCTAGATTAAATTATAAAAGAAGAGAGTAAAGAAAAGTTAAGCTAAGCTTTTCTAATAGCAATTATTTACAGCACGATCACCACCTCTTGGAGAGCTCTCAAAAATTTTACAAAAAAATTGTTTTTAGAACACCCCCAATCCTTCATAACCACAAGAACGGCATCATCACAAGGTCTTATCATTAACCAGCAGGCTCAATCTTCAGCTGTGTCCTCGGACAGCCAAACAGAGGCCTATAAAGGCAGGGCCGACGGAATCAGAGTAAGGGGTAAAAATAGTCATAGAGAAAAGATGAAAATGAGCCAGAGGCTGAAAAAAATTATAACTCTTATTCTTTTTCTACTAAAGGCAAACAAAACAAAAATGAAATCAAATGCCTCACATGCGTTTTATAACTTTATCCTCTAATAAGCAACCAGAAGCAAGGTAAGGGCCATGGGTACTTTAGTATCCAAATAAATTATATGGACATAAAGAATTTTTTTTTAATTTTGCAAGTCTGCAGAGCTACCACATAAGGACTTGTGGACTCTTGACAGAATACATAAAGTGTGTGACAGTCAAAATGACTCAAGTATGAGATTTGCTATAGCACAAAGCTATCATTTATCACCTCCCACTTCCCATCTACCCAGGGATTAATGAAGGGCAAATAAAACCAAACGAATATGGTAGCTACAAAGAGTTATAGACAAATAGCTCATGTTATAGACAGGGATGCTCAGGCATCTTTACTTATTCCATCAAGATGAAATGTGAAAAACAAAAAGTTTATGGTGATATACACAGAATAGCTTCCTGGACCTACATGGGTAGGAAGTGGACCGAAGGGGGTGGGCACCCTGGTGTTGTCATGTCAAGATGCAGTCAGCCTCCTGCTGCTGGTGACAGCTCAGTGCATGGGACGGAACACAGATGATAAAGAATACATTTCTGGGGCACCCAGGTGGCTCAGTCAGTTAAGCGTCCAACTCTTGATCGCCACTCAGGTCATGACCTCATGGTTTGTGAGTTCAAGCCTCGCATTGGGTTCCGTGCTGATAATATGAAGTCTGCTTGGGATTCTCACTCTCTCTCTCTCTTGTTCTCTCTGCCCTGTGCTCACACACACGTGCTCTCTTTCAAAAATAAATAAACTTAACAATATATATTTTAAAGAACATACTTCAGAATCTGTTACCAGAAGCTTGCTCCTCCTTGTGCTAGGAAACAAAACCGCATCACGATAAGGCCATAGCAAAATGTATGTGATGAAAAAGACAAGAAGATTAGGGGTGGGCCTCTGCCACCCGCACATATCAGAGACAATTAGCCAAGGGTCTTACGCTATGTAGAGAGCAGGGTAAAAAGAAGACCAGCTCTGTTCTTGGTCAAATCTGAGTTCAAAAGTCGCCTCCACATTTTGAGTTTTGTGACCTCAAAACTTATCTGATCTGGGTTCCTTCTTTCGGGCTATCTCACCACCCGCCCTATCTGGTTATTCTGAGGACTAAGCAACACATGTGCATTTCTAACAAGTCCATATATAACATTTTTGGAGCTTGAATGTTATTTCTTCAACTCACATATGAGGCTGGTTTTCTTTCTATCTCCTAAAACAGTCCGGAAGACCAAAGTTAGAGAAAAGCCAGGTACACTCAAAAACTGAGCGGGGGGGGGGGGGGGGGGGGGGGGGGGAGGGAGTGTCCTCTGTGGTATAAAGAAATGTTGCAGAGGCATCCTCAGCCCCTTTTAGTTCCCCTACCCAGACAAAAGGAGCAAAAGTGTCCTTTACATTCTCTAGAAAAATGTATGATCAAGGGAACATACGCAGATGTTGCTGTCACATCCTGCCAGCCTTTGGCAATGTTCTGTTTTAGTTCCTGTAGTGAATTGATCCCAAGTTTCCGTTTGATCTCTGCTAGATGCTTCTCTTTTGCTGCTAACACTTGAGACAGAGTCTGGATTTCTTCTTCTACCTATGAGAAAGGGGGATGGGGTCAAAATACATACAGAGTCATTCAATAAGTTAAGATTATTAGTGTAAACTATATTCAAAATTCTGGAGTCATTTGGTTTTTTTAAATGTTTTATTTATTTCTGAGAGAAAGAGAGAGGCAGCATGAGCAGGGGATGGTCTGAGAGAGAGGGAGACACAGAATCCAAAGCAGGCTCCAGGCTCTGAGCTAGATGTCAGCACAGAGCCCAACGCAGGGCTCGAACCCACAAACCGTGAGATCATGGCCTGAACCGAAGTCGGACGCTTAACCGACTGAGCCACCCAGGTGCCCCTCTGGAGTCATCAAAAACATTTTTTGATTCATTTACCTGTCTCTTTAAAAACCACATATAGCATGTTGCTAAGTAAGCTGGTTATGTGCTGCTCTCTCCTGTACAGCTTCTCTTCTCTTCCTTATATTTCTACCTTGAACTGTCCTCAGCCTTCTCCTCTCTCTCTGTACATCCTTGCTCAGCAATGTCATGGAGGCTTAGGGCTCGAACCTCCACACAGACAATATTCCAATTATTCTAACATCCACTCTTCTGACCTCTGGTCTGCGTCTCCAGCTGGACAGTTCTAGTAGAAAGCCCACAAAACTCCTATTTGTGTACCAAATCAAACCTATCTCCACTCTCCACCAAAACACGCACAGCCAAGCCAAATCGAAATCCAACCTTCCCATACATTTCATGTGAGTTTATCCTGGGAATGTCTGTCCCAGGGCCTGCCAAAGCCACAGACACAAACAAATCAAACGGTCTCCCCCAGAGCGCCCCGCAGTAGTCCTGTGTGCACCTCCTGATGCTGACTGAGCAGCAGTAGCTGGGTGATTAGAGGTGGGTCCCTAGCCCAAGGACAGCCAACCCCTCAAGTGGCCACCAACCAGTGAGTGATGTGCCCGAGGTAAAAAAAGAGACTTGGATCTCTCTCATTCAGGAACCCAGTTTGAAAAACGGAGATAACATTGGGAGAAGCTGGAAAGACTTGGATGAAGAAGCCCTCAAGTACAGGTAGGGCACAGTGAGATTATGAGCAATGGAAGCTTAAATGCACTTGAGGAGGCCAAAACTCTACGCAGAAGCTAGGAAGAAAAAGACTTACAGGGCAGGACAACAGGCTGAGGCAGAAAAACAGAGGGCAAGAGGCAGACCCACAGAGAGAAATGGGCCTCATGCAGGGACCTTTTGTGCCAGGAAGCTGAAAAAGTGAGGTAGTCATTAATATTCAAGATCCTTAGAAAGATGCGGCCTTTGACTTGTTGCAAAACCATATTCTCAGCCTTGACCTCACACTTCTAGGATTTCAAAGGCAGCGTGGACTTAAAAAAACAGCGTATAGTGCTATTAAACTGTTTTCACCACTGATTAAACCTTCACAGAACACAAAGTGAAGAAAAAAAGTACTCAACAAAAGGAGAGAAGGATAAAAAAAAAAAAAAATGTGATGTGGCTACCAAAACAAACAAAACAGAGTTGTGAAGATGGCACTACTTAGAAGGTAGGTCCAGAACAAAGATAATCCTCTGTGATTGGCAGACAGAACCTCTCATTCTGCACCAGTTTTGGAAGTCACGTTTAAGTGGCATATGGAAAGAAAAAGGCAACAATGAATAAAGGAGGTTCAAAATCAAGTAAATTACATAATTTGCCCAAGGTCATCAAACTAATAATGCAGGAACCAGAATTTCAACCCGGGTCTTCAGATTCCACCTCTCAGTTTACTGGCTAATTCTCATCGCACACTGTTAGCTTTCCAATAGCTCAAAATTCGCTATCTCAGCTCCGAATTTTCAGACACTCCAAAGAACGGACTTAAAAGATACATACTCTCCCCTGACACTTGTCCGAAGTTTTCACTTCCCCTAATGACAGCTGGCGAGAAAGACCACCATAAATCTTACTGCACAATACAGGACACAGCGTATTCTCTACCTTTGTTGGTTAGATTGTGCTACCAAAATACCTGGCTAAGCACACGGTGGCTACAATTCGTTAATTCAAAATATATATTATATATTACATATTATGTCTATAAAATATACATATTTTAATATAGAAAAATACATATATATAAAAGAATGACCCTTAAAGCGCAAAGAATATATCTGATGAGGATCTAGTATCCATAACAGAGAGAGAACACACAACTCAATAATAAGGACAAATAATCCAATTAAAAATGGACAGAATATTTAAATGGACATTTCACCAAAGGAAATACATAAATGACCAATAATCATATGAAAAATGCTCAATACCATTCATTAGTGAGAAATTCAAATGAGATTCTACTTTACCTCCACTAGGATGACTATAATAAAAAAAGGTAACAAGTGTTGGCAAGGATGCAGAGAAATTGGAGCCCTCACATATTACTGAGGAGAAGGTACAATGGTACAGTTTGGCAGTAAAACACTCCGGTGTTTCCTCAAGAAATTATACAAAAGAGTTATCATATGACCCAGGAATTCCACTCCTAGGTATACAGAAGGAAAATTAAAAGCACACAACCACGCAAAAAAACCTGTACACAAATATTCACAGTGGCATTATTCATAACAGCCAAAAAGGGAAACAAACTCAATGTCCAACAACTGATGAATGGATAGCCAAAATGTGACCGATCGCTATAGAATGGAATATTATTCAGCCAGGAAAACAAATGGCATACTAATATGCCTTACAACACAAATGAACCTTGAAAAAAGTACTATGTGAGGGAAGCTGGTCCCAAAAGACCACACATCGTCTGACCTCACTTGTATGCAATGCCTGGAATAAGCAAATCCATAAAAATCAAAAGCAGACCGTGGTTGCCAAGGGCTGGAGAGAAAGGGTGGGCTGGGGGGTGACTGCGAACAGGGGCAAGGTGTCTTTTTTAGGTGATGAAATGTTTAGAATTAGATAATGGTGATAACTGTACAACCTTGTGAATGCACATAAACCAAAGGGGTAGAATTTGATGGCATGCAAATTATATCTCTAAAATGAATTCAAAAAATGAGAGAGGGAATTTTTTTTTATCCCTATTTCATTTAAATGTCTACAACGATCTCAAGCACTGACTCTGATGTAAAACCTTTCCAAACTGAAAACCATCATTTGTTTTATGTGTAAATGATTTTTATCTTATATTACTATCATTACTATCACATAACCATGAAGTAAAGTTAATAGCATATCTGCCGTATCTCAGGAGTGTTTAGGAATGCTGGATAAACTTCTAATCAAGCATGAACATGGTACACATAAAGCAGTATGTGCACAAGCATCAGAATTCATGAAGACCTGGACCCAAGACTCACACTGCAGTGCACGACCTTGGGACCTTAACTTTCACAATCTTGGATTAGGTAACGGTTCCTTACATGTGACACCTAAAGCACAAGTCACCAAAGGAAAACTACATAAATTCAAGTTCATCACAATTAACAATTTCTGTGCAAAGAGTACTGTCAAGAAAGTGAAAGGGAAAACTCACATAATGAGAGAAAACATTTACCTAGTTCATGTATAACAACTTCATTTGGTAAATAACATCTCTGTTCAGAAACGTAGACCAGTTTCCTCCTCGATCAAATCATAATTAACAGCCCTGAGTAATGTACAGAACTGCTGAATCACTATGTCACACACTTGAAACAAATATAACACTGTATGTTAGTTATACTGGAATTTTAAGAAATAAAGAAAAAATAGCACCTGCCTCTTAACACTGTTGTGATAATTAATGAGATACATATATGCACAGAGCTTAGCTTAGTGCCTGCCACCTAGCAAGCAGTCTGAAGACATTAGTTGCCATTACTAATATTTTAATATTACTGACAATAAAATAATAATACTAAGAGCGGCAAGAATTTGGGAAAATGGCTTTCATACTGTGAGAAATCTTCTGAATAGCATTTTGGCATTGTCGGTGTACGTGGGAAGGACTCTGTGCCCTTACTAAACCATTAGACCCAGGAACCCTACTTATAGGAATTTTTCCTAAAAAACTAATTAAAGAAGTTCATAAGAGAGTATATGCAAGTGTTTCTATCAAAATACTGCTTAATAGCAAAAAAGTGCTATGAAGAAAGTGCAAAAACAACATACAGGAGAAAATATTTGTAAATCACGTATCTGATAAGGGTCTACTATCCAGAATATATAAAGAGCTCATATCTCACCAACAAAACAGACAATTAAAAGAAAACCTGGGGCAAAGAATTTGAATAGATATCTCTCCAACGACGGTATACAAATGTAATAAGCACATGAATGCTCAGTATCATTAGTCATTAGGGAAATACAAATCAAAACCGCAATGAGATACCACTTTACACTCACTACAGATAGTCAGAATCAGAAAGACAGAAAATAACAAATGTTGGCAAAGATGCACAGAAATTGCTGCTTGAGATGTGAAATGGTGCCCCTGCTGTGAGAAATAGTTTGGCAGTTCTCCAAAAAACTTAAACGTGGAATTATCATTTGATGCAGCAATTCCACTTCTAGTTACAGAGATCCAAAGGAACTAAAAATAGGTATTCAAACAAGTACTTTTATACAAATGTTCCTAGCTCAGTGCCCACAATCGTAAAGATGTGGAAACCACATAAATGTCCATCAACACACAAACAGAAAAACAAAGCATGGAAGACACATAAAATGGAATATTATTCAACCATAAAAAAAATAGTAAAGTACCAATACATGCTACAAGAATGAACCTCAAAAAACATTATGCTAAGTGAACCTAAAAAACAAACAAAAAGTGCCATATTATATTCAAATAAAATATCCAGACTAAGTAAATCCATACAGACAAGACATACAGCTGATAACTGTTGCCAGGAGACGAGGGAGGGAGGAATCCGGTTTCATGAGTATGGGTCTCCCCTGGGAGTGATGAAATTGTTCTGGAACTACACAGAGGTGATAGCTGCACAAGACGGTGAATGTGCTAAATGCCACTGAATTGTACACCTTTAAATGGTTAACTTTAAGGAAAAAAAAGAGAAAGGGAGGGAAGGAAAGAAGTTTCAAAGTGCAGATATCCACAACACAGCAAAGGAGAGACCAGAGTCATGGATAGAACCGAAAAGCCACGTATATTAGACTCAGTGCAGTCCCTGAGACGATATTCACTATCACTCCTCTCATCCCGTTCCTCTGTCACATCCTACTTCTCAGACTCACGTCATCTTTTTTATATGCTTTATTTCATATAAAAACAAACCGATATCATGCTCTTCTATTTCTTCTCCCCCACTCAAGATCTCTAGGACAAGTGCATGCGCGTTGCTTTCTCTCCCTTGAAACTGACAACGAGGTATTACCTTACCTTACAAATGACACTGTAAGCACAAAACATGACGTTCCAAAAGGAATGCTTCTTTACCTTTGCAAGTTCTCTTCTTAGCTCTTCTTGCTCTTCCTCTGATAGGGTCTCTGTGGCACTGATCGTGGCTGCAACATCTTCTCCTTCCTCGGGCACTGTGTCTGTTCTCAGCAGACCTTGTTGGGGATGAAAACAAAAAAGTCTGTAAGGTATGAAAGCTAAGTAAAATTCTCCTTTAGGCTCCTCCACTGCCCCAGTGAGAATAAAAGCAATTAGACTGGATCCACACATCAACTTTCAGTAGCTTCAAATGACCTGGCTCTCCCAGTAAAGGACAAAAGAAAAGTCTTAGCTACCACTGAACACCACCAAATTACACTCTGCCAAATTATGAACTTAAAAAATACAGCATTCACTCAGCTTCTGTCCATTTCCACAGTCACAATATAGTTACTGCAAAGCAAAAGAGTTAAGAGGCCAAAAATGGGATCTTGCCAAGGCTTTGAAACCTTAAACTAGTAAATCAGCAGGACTAGTAACTCACACTAAGGAGGGAAGGGGTTTGTACATATCTCTAATTTCCTCTGCTAATCAAATCCAGCATTAACCTTGGTCAAGAACTGAACAAACTCAATGCCTACAAAAATTTTATCCCAAGAAAAATGTATTACATCTCTTTCCTTTGTTAGTAGAGGTAGGAAACACCTTCCTGCAGCTTTTAAAAATATATATATCTCATCCAGATTACCTTTAAAAAGTCCTAACATATGCAGAAATGATCAACACTCATATTAAAGCTTTCCACGTTAATTAAGAGCAACACTGCCACACTCACTCCCCTGAAAAAGCGGCAACCGCAGTGGGCCCTCAGGAAGAATCTGGCATTTCTCGAGTGGCCAAGAAGGCAGCTGACAATCAGCAACCATCTCTTCTGCGCAACCAGCCATGCACAAGGCTAGTGTGATTAGGTCAGCGAGGCCCCCAAACCTGGGGTGCAAAATTTAAGGGGGCATCAAAAACCTCAATATAAATAATTTTAATATTTTAATGCGATATATTTGCAAAATCAAAGTTAATTCAAAGAATCTATGATGAATAAATTATCAAGATTTTAAAAAGGCTCAGCGTTGCTGATTTTTCCTTCCACCTTAGGCTCCAAAATGGCTTGGCACAGTACTGTTCCTGATCTTGTCTTTTTTTTAAATACTTTTTTTTTAAAGTTTTTTCTTTTATAGTTTATTTATTTTTGAGAAAGAGAAAGACAGAGCATGAGCTGGGGAGGGGCAGAGAGAGAGAGAGGGAGACACCAAATCTGAAACAGGCTCCAGGCTCTGAGCTGCCAGCACATAACCTGATGCAGGGCTTGAACCCATAAACTGTGAGATCATGACCTGAGCCAAAGTCGGATGCTTAACCGACTGAGCCACCCAGGTGCCCCTTAAATACTTTTTAAAAGTTTATTTATTTATTTTGAGGGGGGAGGGTCAGAGAGAAAGGGAGAGAGAGAAAATCCCAAGCAGGCTCCACACTGAGCAGAGCCCAATGTGGGGCTCCAACCCACAAATCGTGAGATCATGACCTGAGTAGAAATCTAGAGTCAGACACTTAACTGACTGAGCCACCCTTGATCTTCCCTTTATTTAACTTCCTTTTTTTTAAATGTTTTATTTATTTCTGAGAGACAGAGACAGAGACAGCATGAGCAGAGGAGGGTCAGAGAGAGAGGGAGACACAGACTCTGAAGCAGGCTCCAGGCTCTGAGCTGGCTGTCAGAACAGAGCCCAATGCAGGGCTCAAACCCATGAACTGTGAGATCATGACCTAAGCAGAAATCGGACATTTAACCGACTGAGCTAGCCAGGCGCACCCTGATCCTGTATTTATTTAAAAGGTTAGTATTTTGTTCATCCTGATTTCATTTTAATTTTTTGAATGTTGCATTAACATTATTTGTCTTGATCACAGAGCATTTTGGTGCCCTCTTGAATTTTACAGCTAAGGCAGGTGGCTGCTGGCCTCACAGGCCTTACCCTAGTCAGAGTTCTGCCCATCCATTCCCATGGCAGAGGTTTGGGTTTTCTCAGTCTCTGGCAACAGATACTTTGCATAGGGAACCTGAGAAAAGTCTCCTCCTTTTCCTGCTCTTCGCCTCTTTCTGCCAGTGGGGATTAAAGCAATCACGGTTCCACACCACCCCCACGTCCATTTCTGAGAAGCGCTAGTTCAGCCGTAGCAGCAATGTGGCATCCAGCCCAAAGCAAGATGCCAGGCGGCAGATGACAGACTTCACAGGCAGGCGGAAAAGGAAGGGGCGAGAATAACCACATTGTTCAACAGGCAGCCAGCGCCATGGCAAAGCTAAGAGAAGTATATGGATCAATGACACAGCATGTAGGGACACTGTGTACAAGGTACCAAGACACCAGTTACAGGGTCTACTTAATAATTATAACAGCGATAACCATTAGCACAACAGTACCAAAACACTACCAACCGGAAAGGTGTTTATAGAATTGCTAAAGGCATAAGATACACATAAAACAACTGACAAAACCATAAACCAGAGGAGCAAACAGAGTATGATTAAGCCTTCTTTTTTTTTTTTTTTAAATGTATTTATTTCTAGGAGAGAGAGAGAGAGAGACAGCGTGAGCAGGGGAGGGTCAGAGAGCGAGGGAGTCACAGACTGAAACAGACTCCAGGCTCTGAGCTGGCAGTCAGCACAGAACCCGACGCGGGGCTCGAACCCACGAACCGCGAGATCATGACCTAAGCAAAAGTCGGATGCTTAACCGACTAAGCCACCCAGGCACCCCTGATTAAGCCTTCTAAGGCACAGACAAGATGTGACAGGTACAATCAGTAGATGGAAAAACTCAATGAATAACTGCTTCTGTAGGCCCCCTCTAAGATATCTTCGCACTGCCCAAGTAACATCTGTGATAGAAATCTGATCATGTCCCTCTCCAGCTTACAGTCCGTTAGTGGTTCCCTGCTGTTTTCAAGACAAAATTCATCCCCGTACGTTAGCACCCAGGCCTTACTGGACCCACCCCCTGCTGTCTGTCATTGGAACCCGCATACGCCAACCCCAGCCACAGCAAACTGTAGAGAAGGCGTGTACGGTCAGAAATCACTGAGGAGGGTCCACGTATGTTTGCAAATTTATCCCCTGTACCACATTATGTGACGGAAGAGTAGAAGATTGAGGACAGAAGGACTATATGGTAGCAATCATATAAGGCAATACAGTACGAACCATAACAGAGTTCATTATAAACATTCTTTATTTTTAAATTTTTGTTCAGACTTCTCAAATCTCTAACAAGACTCAAAAAGAGAACACCAACAAAACTCTCATGCTGAACCATGCCTTAAAAAAACAAAGGCTCTTTCATGCTTTTTAATAAATACTAGTTTGCAAATCCGCTTAAGAAGAAAATTTTAATACGTAAGTACTAATAGTGGTTTATGTACAGCTGCCCAATTCCAAAAAGAATCTAGAGGTAACCTGATACTATTCAAGCATTTAGTTAGGCCACCAGGGAAATTAAATATCTCAGAAAAGGGGGTCATAGAGTTGTCCACAGTTGGCTTCAAGGCCTCCCAGATGACCTTTGAGATTTTATATTCCCAATCTAAGGAATTTAGTAATTACACGTTCTGCTTTTTCCATATTAACCTCTAGGTGGCAGCAAATTATCAACATTAAAATTTAAAGGTGAGGTTTGGGGGCACCAAGGTGGCTCAGTCCATTAAGCCTCTGACTTCTGCTCAGGTCACGATCTCACAGCTTGTGAGTTCAAGCCCCACATTGGGCTCTGTGCTGACAGCTCAAAACCTGGAGCCTGTTTTGGATTCTGTGTCTCCCTCTCTCTTGCCCCTCCCCTGCTTGTACTCTCTCTTTCTCAAAGATAAACAAACATACAAAAAAAGGTAAAAAAAAAAAAAAAAAAAAAAAGGTGAGGTTTGTTTTGGGATAATCAACTCAGGGGAGAAAAATGAAAAATGAAGAAATAAAGGAAGAATAGAAAGGCAGATATCAAAAGAACTGTCAAAACAGGACAGTCACGACTTAGGAAAATTATTAATAACCACAGCCATCCCCACAGAGTGCACTCTATGTATATCCACATCTGAACTAAGTGGTCCAAAGAGATTACGTTATTTTCGTACAATACTTCTGGGATGTGCGGATTACCATTTACAGATGAGGCAACTGAAACTTACAGAGGTTAAGCAACCTGCCTGTGGTAACATACCTGAATACACGGGGTTGTGATTTTGAACCTAAACGGTTTGTTTGAAAGAATACGCTTAAGGGCAACTGGGTGGCTCAGTCAGTTAAGCGTCCGACTTTGGCTCAGGTCACAATCTCACAGTTTGTGGGTTTGAGCCCCGTGTCTGGGTCTGTGCTGATGGCTCAGAGCCTGGAACCTGCTTTAGATTCTGTGTCTCCCTTTCTCTCTGCCTCTCCCCTACTCAGTTTCTCTCTCTCTCTCTCTCTCAAAAAAATAAACATTAAGAAACAAAGCTTTTTGAGTATATGCTTAAAGTCATTGATTGCCAAAGTACGAATGAAGAGTCAGGGGCTGACAGTCTGACTTGTAAGATTTCTGGAAACAATAATAAAGACTGTACAAAGGAAAAGCAGCTGGCAGACTAGATCAAAAGTAATCTCTTTCTTTTCAAATGTACAGTTTCTAGCACGTCAGAAGTTTTTCTAGATGTTATCCAATTTCCCATATGATAAGAGTACAATATTTATTGTAGAGGCAGAGTCTGCCTTTGGGGAGGAAAAATAGTAACTTCTCATTCACAATCCAAGTTGGGAAATGGGAACATTTTAATATATAGTTTACTTAAAACTATACTGCAGAAAATTCTTATTTAATCATTCATTTTTCATGTTCCTTCCTCAGAATCTGATGGAAAGCTGTTTTTAAAAGATGGTAAAGAGGGACAAAATTAATATTTACTGAGGTCTAATACACAACCAGGGAGATTCATGTTACCTCCTTTTTGAAAAAGCATCTTCCAACCAACACGTGACGAAAGGAGTACTTTTTATTTGCACTGGGGAAACCGAGGCCCTCGGTCTGAGGTTCCTAATTTGCCCAGAATCACAGGGGAGATTAAAATACAGGTTTTTCTGACTCTAAACTATTGCTCTTTC